AAACAGAAGATGCTAATAGGGCTTTAGGACAAACATTTTAGATAAAAATTTGAAGATATTAACTTTATTTGAATGCCCTGTATTAATTTGAGGATATTCGTTGGATTTTCACAAGATAAGTGTCAACTGATTTTTTTACAAATTGATTTGAATGAAGAACGTCTCTGAACACAATTGATAATGGAGTCAGTCTTTTCTTTTCACTATATTAAATTAAATCGTATGTCTCTATATTAATAAAATTAATCATTGATGATAACTTAAGTTAGCAAAGTACATTTTTTATTAACAATTATTAAATACTACAAATTTAACTTGTAGAAGATATTTACATTTTTTAGAAATGAAATTTATATTGTATATGGAGGTTCAGAGAAAAAAATAATATATAAAAAAAAACAGTACAGACTGTTTAAAGATATCGTTTTATTCGTTTGAGCGTAAGTGTGAAAAGCCGTTGCCAGCCATTTTTAATTCAGTTTTGTTTATTTGTAATGTTGATGATAATCATTTTGAGATAGAAATAATATATATTTCTAACCAAAAAAATGCTAAATACAGTTTTTAATAAGTAAATATAATTCTCGCCATTTCAAAATTGTTATATGTAATGCATTAAAAAGTAACAGGTATTACAAAAATATCGGACAGTACAACAGAACAACACCCGACTGCCGTCTGAAGAAAAATAATAACGAACAATATGGGCCACATGACTTGGAACAGACACACAATGTGGTGAGGTTAAACCTCTCCTTTGCCTTACTAAACTGTGTACATGTATCTAGAATCAGTTATATATTGAAAATGTTTGATCCTCCTGTTATATCAAGCCTAGAATATAGCAAAATTCACAAAAATTCCCTTCCTTGTGTATGGTGAAGAGAATGTTGTTGTTTTTTCTTTATACAAAACTACATCTTGGTAGAATTTTTAAATATTGGTGCTTTTCCATCACCGTATTCCCCATCTTTATAAAAAAAACAATATGATCTAGTCAATGTTTTGCCATGAGAAATCCTAAATATCATTTTGATCAAAATATTAGGGTTGCACAGCGCATTATGAACAGAAAATTTCCTGTAGTTGCATTGCAATCTTTCCTTTGGTCGAGCAGTGTGGACGGACGGACACAATGATCACTTTATATCTATACCTAACTAGACTGATATGATGAAACCTAGAGTCATGACAGAATATGAGAAACATCATCAGCTTTATAACTCAGTCTATAAGCATTTGCAAATCTAAATACAACAAAGCACGGAGGTTTTCATTTGATAACACGACTCCTTTTTTCATGTTTATTGTCTTGCAAAGTGAAATCCTATGTTATACTAATTAAATTTATTTAATAGTTATTGAAACCTCATAAAATCTTGTACTGGTGGTCGTTGATGATCGAGCAGACAACAATCTATTGTATATTTAAAGCATATTAATAATGGGAATTCTTCTTAATCTAAAATGTGCTTTTGTTCACTTTTCAAACTCTTGTAATATCGAAACCTATCTGTCTTTCAAAGGAGTAGGCCCGGTAAGACCCCCTTTTGGCCCCAAAATATAGCATTTTCACAAATTTGTTGAAATTTAAACTTTAAGCTCATTATTGGAAAGTAGAATACTTTTGTTCCATAAATATGGAATGTTTTTGACAATACAATACCAGAGACATATATACACAGGCATCAGATAATAGCATCATAAATTCATGTAAAATTACTGAAATCTTCACAATTGTAGCATTTGTGCTAATTTAAAGACTGTTTTTGTCTAAAATAGAAGTGGTCGCATTTGCGTTCAGTCTTAATATTTAAATATATGTTGTATTTGATGATAATACATAATATGTTTAAAGGTTGAGACTGAACACGAATGCGGCCACTTCCATTTTGGCCATCTGAAAAGTGACGTTTTATGGCATATTTGATAGATTTTTCATATTTAAAATTGAATTTGAGCCTCTTTAATGACCAAATCAGTTCAAATGTTTTACATAAACTAATTGAATCGACTGAAGTAGAGACTTATGTGTTTGAAATATGTCAAAAATCTTTCATCAGATGTACTTCGAATTTTAGGCCAAAATTAGCACATACCGGACTTTTTCCTTTAACCGGACTTTTTCCTTTAACGATTTCATAGCGGGAAAGTAAATATACTTCTTTATGCCAAGCCCGCCAACAGGAGAAATGACCGATGGTTATCATCTCAGAATATATATATATATGTTTAATTTTTTATTCTGAAATCAAGTAACCTTAGAAATTTCCAATCTGTAAGTAATGAATTAGTCGCTATCTAAAACAAGCAACAAATAGTTTTCATTTATGAAAATGATAAGCAAAACAAAATCGGTAAAAGTTGCAAGAAATCTTGATAAACATCGTGAGACGCATTGAGACTTTTGCGAAATTTTACTAAGATTCTGCAGTTTTAAAATCGTTATTGTTATTTTCTCTCGTGGAACATCCATTTTTTTCTTCTTAGTATTTCATACATTGGACATGGAGTATAATAGCTGACTGTTGTGTATTTTTTTTCCGTGCATGTATCCGGTAAGAAGTTGTTCCTAAAAACATAACATTATGTTTTATTATTGATACTCATATGAACGATGCGATAAAAAATATATCTAAATATTTGAGATTTAACTTTTTTCTAAACCACTGCTTGAGTATACTTTTCAGTAATGACTTCAGATAGAATGTCAATTTTCGGGATTATTTCTTTTACTAAGTATGCGAAAGTGGCAGGAGCCCATTGCTTAGAGACTCATATGAATTCATAATTGAACTTCTCGTCCTTTCTCGTAAAAAGTTCCAAGACCTAATAGATAAATATTCAGTGTCGCCTTCACAGATAATACAGGATGGTCTTGCGTTACATATTCTAGGTGCTGTATCACTTTGTTTCCTTAACATTTTTCCCTTTATTTGTCTTTGTACTTTTATGTTCCTTTATGTCGTATGACTCTTGACGTGACTCAGCATTCGTGCATCCAGTTTTCGGGTTTTTTGGCTTCGGGCGTTCCTGGTCTGGGTGGGTCCAGAGGTGCGATTTGGACGAATGAGGCTTTTATAGTGTTGTTTTCATTTTGTTTACCCTTGCATTTATATTTTGCTTAGTTTGTGTATAATTATGTCTTTTTGTTTAACTTACTGTATGTACTATCAACTACAAAACAAAATTGTTGGCGTCTTCGTCAGATTTATTTGTATGTTTGTTTGAATTCCTAAGTCAGTTTGTTGTATGTCTGTGATGTTACAGTTTTCCTTTTTTTTTAATTGTCTTTATGCTTTTGTGTTCCTTTTGGTCGTATGACTCTTGGCGTGCCTAGGTATTCGTTAATCCAGCTTTCGTGATTTTGGCTTTAGGCGTTCCCAATGCGGGTGGATCGAGAGGTGCGATTCGGACGCACGAGGTTTTTAGTCACGGATGTTTTCGTTTGTTAACCCTTGTATTTATATTTTTCTAAATTTGTACTTTATCGGGAAAGTATATTTCATTATGTTTTACTACACTGTATGTACTATCAGCTACAAAAACTGTTTTTGCTGGCGTCTTTGTCAGATTTATTTGTGTGTTTGTTTGATTTTTAAAGACAATTGTGTTGTATGTCTATGATGTATGTTTACACATTTTTGGCTGTTGGATCCGGGTTATTGTCACGTTAACCAATTATGTTTGTTTGAGTTGCTCGCCCAATTTAGTAAATATAACGAACTAGTAACAACTATTATACACGTGGGAGGTCTTGCTAGCTTAAAACCAGGGTTAACCCACCATTTCCTTCGGAAAATGCGTGTACCAAGTCAGGAATATGACAGCGTTTGACTTCCCCTGTTTTAAATTACCCTGAAATTCGGTATTTTTGTAGATACTTTTTTGCTTCTTTCAAACTCTTCTCTAACAACTGATGCTTACTTCCGGAATAGATATAAATATGACTTTAAACCAACAAAAAGTCCCAAACACCTACGCACATACATTAAATATAACCGGACTATATACCATAAAAACGAAATCGCAAAAACAACGTATCAAAATACAGATGGATTGAGGACCAATAATTACCAAAAACAAAACGTCAAATTTCCAAAATGAAGACATCTCTTTTAGCCGTATTCAAAACTGACCCTTCATGATGGTAAACGATTCCTGTTCCACTCTCATACCTCTCTTATTAATTGCATTAGATTTCAGAGGTAACGAAAGAATCATCAGGAAGAGTCTACAAAAGGCAAACAAGAAAACACTAGTATTTTTCGAAACCATTCCACTTGCTACTTCAACATTAGTAATTACTTACTTTATAAGTTGCCTATACTTATATTCGAAGCAGAAAGAATATAATCTGATTCACGTGTCCGCGATTTCACCAGTGCATTCGTGGAAATTTAATTTCAAGAAAAATAAATTAACAAAACATCTCCCACTGGAAGACATAATATAATAACACCAAGAATGAAACGACCTGTGTTGAAACAATGTTAATATCATTTTTAAGTTCATATTTAAAATTGCTTAATTATAAATGTTGTATTTCAATTTGCACAAGCCATATAAAAAAAGTTTTGCATTTTGATATTGAATATAAGCATTACTCACATATATAGATGTTTTTTTTAATAACTATCAGGTAAAACTGTAATGTGAGGATGCTTAAACATACTTAAAAAAATGAAAAATAAAATTTCTGAATAATTTATTTGTAAAGTAAATATTTGTATAATTATAAGTTATTCATTGTTTTAGTTTAATTTTCGTGAAATTTTGCTAAGTCATCCTATTTTCTCCCACGAACAATTCCGATATATAAATCCAAAACGAAAACTTCACTATCAGTATGCTATATCTTTGAGATTAACTTGTCAATTTCGAACAACTTAATTGTTAAAAACTGCGATAAAGTACGGAAACCGAAATAATCTGAATCGGACGTGCAATGGGGCGGTTTAAATAAATGGAAACATATGCAAATATGAGAAAAATTTGATATGATTTGCTATTCGAACTCAGGTGAAACGCCTTATGTTTACAAAGTAAACTTATCGTAAATCACACCGAGACTTCACAGATAAGCCGGACAAAAATATGGTTTCCCAGTAAGGAATAAGCTTAAATTATCGATACACAACTCAACTCAAGATAAAATACGTTAGTTTTAGGTTTTAAAAATGGTTTCCTTCAGAGAATATTGTGATATAGCGGGATGAAATGATTTTCATAAAGGATTTTTCGAGCTTACTGTCAAGGTAAGGTGACAATTGTTTGTTAAAGGATTGATCTGCTGCAGATTCAGCAGCAGAAGTTATTCCTCGATGTCTGTTGCAAGTGTCAAGGTACATCAATAGTTTCAACATTACTTGGTTATATAAGGTCAAGGTAGATGTGGACATAGATAAATGCAAAAACTGTTTGTAAGTCAATGCAGATGTCTACAAAGATTTAAAAAAAAACCGGTATAACTGTTTTTATACTTATTACCTACTGTTGATCTAAAATTGTCTCTAACAAACTAGGTCAGTAGTATCTGTGTATTTGGGTCAATAGTAATCTGAAAGAACGGTTATCCAATTGGTATTGGTACCTTAGTTTTATTATTGTTACCTAAGGAAGCATTAAATCTACAGATATACTAAATAATTAGGAATAATATCTTTGAGCAGTAGCGGATGCAAAAAGGGGGAGGGGTGTCAAAACTGTTGCTCTTACTCGTTAAACCATGAAAACTTGCAGTCTTTGTAATAAGCCATAGAACAACATGCTAAATATACTAACATATGTCAGAGGTCATAAAAATAACTAGATGTTTTAAAAAATGACCTTATTACTGTTGAAAGTAAGAATACGACCTAATCTGCTCGGATTACCTAATGCAATGCCATGAGTAAGGTGCCCATTTCCTTGTCTACTCTGAGAACTAATTTGGAAAGATTTTATGCGTTAATCGTTCATATACGTGACATAGTTTCAGATTAAATATTGAAAGAAATATAGTTGTTAGCTTTTTGCAAGCAAAATAAATTTCATACGGGTTTAGTCGAACAGTTTCTCTTCTGTTTTCTTTACTTCAGAAACGCCTGAGCTTTCCCTCAATTTTTACAACACGTCTGCCATTTTTCCTAATGTTTAGATCCATGCATGTTTTCACATAAACTATTTAAATTTCATTTTATCAGTGTTCTAAAATTACATTAAATACTTAAGACTTTGACTTTAAAGTGAATATTTAAACAATGAATACTTGTTATTTTAACGACGTACAAAGAGTTATACCTTTATGTACGTGTTTATCATGGCTAAAGTACACTCTACTAGACAAATACATTTTGATATTACGTAAGGAATAATCTGATTTTTTCAGCATTTCCTTCAGTAATTTTTACATTTTTGCGGTAATTCCCCCCTACCTTTAAAAACATCCATTATTTACAAGACCTCTGCCTTTTCGTTAAGCCGTCTACACATGTACACTTAGTTTTCCATATCTTGTTTCCGTGAACCAAATCTCTGGTGTAAATTTAATAGTAGATATGGGTCCTTTTTGGCAGGACAGGCAATATTTTACTGTCAACAAGGATAAAATATTGAATGGAGGCAGAACCTTTTCTATGAGGTTTTGAAGTGTTTGTTGATTATAATAGGTGATATACTATTTGTAAATATTTATATAATTTTATAAAGGTATTTTCAGTGGTATTACCTTATGCTAAAATGAGTTACAAGCAAATCCAACTTAAATCCATACGAGACGACGCAATCAAATTTCAATTAAAGTCTTACTTTAACACATACAGTTTTTATGCACACATGACTGATTCTAGTCAGTTCCTTCTAATCAGATTAATACTAATTGGACTAGATAATGGTAGTTTTCGTTCAAAATGATACATTTGTTTTAACTTAAAGATTTTGCAGTATAAAATTATCTTTTGAAAATCTAGTAATAAAGCCGTAGTCAACATTTTAATATTTTCTATTCATTTATTTATTTTCTATGTTTTATGACCAACTCGAAAAAATATTTGTTCGTATTCGAGTTGCATATCCCTCTAAAATTACAACATAAGCAAGAATATAAGTTACTATATCTCAAACATCTATCACAATTTCAAGTTATTTTACCATTTAAAGAACTTTAAACGAAATTTGATTGGTATAGGGTTAATAAATACGCTCTAATGTACTTTTTGATCGAGATCACAGAGTGTTCTGTTGCTTTTATTCAATTCCATTTTTACATATCCTGTTGACTTTTTTTGTATAATTTCAAGCTATGTTAGCATTTAAGGAATTTTGAACGACATTTCGTGGTAATAGAAATAATTTAATATACATTTCAATTGACTTCGTGCAAGAGAAAACCAGACAGCAGCCTATTGTTTTTGCCGAATTTAAATATTTCTCCATCTCATCTATTACATTCAATGATACATTGTACTTATTTCACTATATTTTCATATAGTGAGCGGTGTATTCAGATCGCCTTCACGATTTTTATATTCGCGCTATATCCATTGTTTCGACACTCCACTTTATAGTTATACGGCTTATTTCATTAAGTCGGACATAAATGTATATCCATTAAAACTTCACGTGCAATAGCCTTTATATTGAAAGTTCTTTTGTTATGTCTAAGTGCTGCACTTTTAAAAACTGTGGTAACAAGTTATTCATTCGGTCATGACAACATAAATTCAATCATTGTCCTTGTAAATGTACCATGGACTCAAAACTCTAAACTCTTATATGTATTTATTGTATTATTTTTATCGGAATCCAAATTCCAAGTTTTTTCTTATACTGTCAAAGTTAATTCTGGGCTCAGTCCTGTATCCTTTCTATTGAGGTGTCAAAAACTTCAGGAGACCGGTCTATTTTAACCAATAACCCGAGAAAATTTATCAAATTTAGAAAAAGCAGTATCATTCAACTGAAAATTATATACAACTTAAGCTTTACCATGTTAAGAGATGACCAAAAACTGTGTTGCTATCTACCCTATTTCTTATTTTATTGATTCGGTTTATGTGACAATAGATTTAGAAACAACGTGTCAATTTCTCAAATCCTTGTTTATTTCGTCAGAAGAGGAAATGTTATCACTCGCCTTCAATAATTATTTATTTGGATTTAATAATAGGTTTTATTGGTTTTAAGACGAAGATTGTGATAGATTTGAGATTGGGTAATAAATCATTCAAACAGGTGGAATGAACTTAAAAGACCGACATTAATTGAGAAATTATTTGCTTTATACTGTTTATTTCAAAGTTTATGTATAATGTAGCTTTAACATGTAAGCTTTTAATGTCTCTTTTATAACACAAATATAAATATACATTTTGAACCCATGTTAAAGCTGGTTAAAATTGACACATGCAAAAACGGTTATATGGCAGTAACATGGATGTATTATGGTTAGTCTAACCAGTTTAGCCCTGTAAGCGTATCGTAGTGGGCTATTTGTTTCTAAAATAAGGCTTGAAGGCCGTACTTTGACCTATAATTGTTAACTTTTTATACATTGTGACTTGGATGGAGAGTTGTCTCATTGGCACTCATACCACATCTCCTTATTTATTCCGACACCTTTTTTGTTCAGATGCCAAAATAATGGCCACCAATTGTAATTGCTGCAAAGGGCAAAACATCTTGCCAGTAACATTTAGATTTTGCCCATTTCGTTCAATTTTCCACTTTTATTTTGTTATATCTGTGCATGTATGAATAAGTATGACACAGTTGCAGCTGGACGTTACGAAGCCACAATCAATAAATCAACACTAAATACCTGTGTCAACCATGGAAGAAACTTCATGATTTCAAAAAGTTAAAACGTGGAAATCTTTCTTTGAACGAATTAATATGTTCAACACGGCACAAACTTTGAATGTGGAGTTATGGTAGTGAATAGTAATATCCTTTATTTCTTTCTTTTCTTTTTTGTCATTTTAGAGTATTTGGTATTAGTGCCAAATCCTTTGTAATCTGTTAAATTTGTTAACTAATTTTCTATACTGGAGCTTGACATCATGTATTAGGGTCTAGATGGGGTTTACAGACTAGAGAATACCTCGATTACAGAAAAATGGGCAAAAAAAATAAGAAATGAGAAAAATGATCCAAAAACTACTGAATAGAGAATAATGGGGTTCCAAAATATATATAAAAAAAATAATTGGCAAAAAAATGTAAAGAATAGAGAAAAAAAATCCTAAAAAATTAAAGAATACCGAAATGATGGACCCTCATCAAGACCCTCATGTATAAATTCTGTCCTAACTGTTGATGAAGATCGTGTGTTTACCTTTAGATGTGTTGGGTTTTTTTTAGTTGTTGGGTTGCTTTGTCATTTACGTATAACACCCACATCTCCTTTCATTCATAATCTTGTAGCATTCAGTCATATAACCTTTAGAAATCAGTCATAGTTGAAAGCTCGATTGTGTTGAAATTTAGGTTATCAAAGTTTCATGCAGTGTTTGCATGCACGAATTACATTGCAATCGATATGTGTTGACTTTGATGGCGTCATTCCTTTATCTATCTAATACTTTAGACAATTGTGCACCTGTGTTACACATGTTGAACGAAATTGCTTTGTCATATAATGTGAGAACATTCTTAAATGCAAGTTTTGATTTTAACTGTTCGTGTCGAAATTATTAAAAGCTCTTTTCCTGGTAGAAATTCAGTCTGCTTAATTCCGCTGAATTAGTATAAAACCAGTTTAATTCTGTAGTAATAGAGTTATAGAGTTATAGATCAAATGGTAGAATACCCCTCCTGAATTCGACATATCTGTTTTATTACAGAAAAAAACAGTGGCAGACTTAATGATTTTGTAGAAAATACATTTAAGTAAGCCTTTTGCTATATTTTCGATCTACTCAGTAAGCCTGTCGCTGCCTTTTCTATCTATTCAGTAAGCCCGCCTCTGCATTTTTTTATTTATTAAGTAAGTCTGTCGCAGTGTTCATTATCTATATTCAGTGAGCATGGTGCTGTATTTTCTATCTATTCATTAAGCGTGTCTGTATTTTTTTTTATCTATTAATTAAGCAAGTCGCTGTATTTCTATATCTATTCAGTAAGCATGTCTCTGTATTTTTATATCTATTCAGTAAGCCTGTCTCTTTATTTTCTATCTATTCATTAAGCAAGTCGCTGTATTTTCTATCTATTCACTAAGCAAGTCGCTACCTTTTCTATCCCTATAAAACCAGTAAGCCTATGATTGTATTTCTATCTAATCAGTAATTATGTTGCTGTATTTTCTATGTTTTCAATAAGCATGTCACTATATCTTCTATCTATCCATTAAGCATGTCTGTATTTCTATATCTATATATCCATTAAGCCTGTCTCTGTATTTTTCTATTTATTCAGTGAGTCTGTCGCTGTATTTTCTATCTTCTCAGTAGGCCTGTCGCTGTTTTTTCTATCTATTCATTAATCAAGTCGCTGTATTTTTCTATCTATTCACTAAGCAAGTCGCTACCTTTTCTATTCCTATAAAACCAGTAAGTCTTTTAATGTACTTTCCAGCTATTCAGTAAGTGTGTTGCTCTATTTTCTATTCAGTAAGCCTGTCGCAATATTGCAATTACTATTCCTAGCTGTTATAAATATTCACAGAGCATTATCATCCAACCCCACTTTTCTTGTGTCTACATGAAGGGATGTTATATTAATAATAATTGTCATTATTCTAATTCTAACTCCGTAATGTTTTAATGTTTGATTAAATTGAAATAAAAATTATTATGTTGAAAAAATTAAATCTTGGAAACAATTAATGGTTTTCTAACTTCATCTATGAAAAAATATTAAATTAAAAAAATCACATAAAACTACACAATAATTTGCTCTCGTTTAACCAAAGTTGCATATTTGTAAAGTATGTAATTCTAATTAATAGAAAAAAGGAATTATTCTTTTACACGCGCGCACGCGAGCGTGTGTTTTCTTCTTTCATTGTCACCTTTAAAGCAATTATTAATTTTATTAAGATAGATGGTGAACTATTTTCATTAATATTGATGCAAAATCACATATCAAACCACACATAAAAAATAGATATGATTTTAAAGTTTTTTGTGTTTTAACGCCACTTTTAAGCACCGCTTTTTTGGCTATTTCGTGGCAGCCAGTTTTTATTGGTGGAGGAAGCCGGAGTGCCCGGAGAAAACCACCGACCTTCGATAGGAAAACTGACAATCCTGGTCAATTAAGATTGGAGTCGAGTGCACCCGCACGAGCGGTGTTCGAACTCACAACCTCAGTGTTGACTGGCTTGTGATTACATGCAGTAGTAACTACTTATAGACCACTCGGCCACCGAGGCCCCCATAAAAAATAGAAGGTTGCACATTCATAAAACTGGTTTAATCCTGCCAAATGTTTATGTAGGTGTCGCAAGTTGGGAACCTGGCCGATGTATGATAATTTAGACTTGGGTATATGGTTAAATACTTATCAAATGCTGACCGCAAGGTGTATATATTGTGTTGTTAGAGTTCTGTCTCATTGAAGTATACTCCATATAAAAATAAGAAGATGTGGTATGATTGCCAATGATACAACTCTCCACAAGAGACCAAATGACACAGAAATGAACAACTATAGGTCACTGTACGGCCTTCAACAATGGGCAAAACCCATACCGCATAGTCAGCTATATTCATGTCTTATTTTATTCCCTTTGTCCATATCTGAAAAGAAAAAATCGTAAGATCGGATTTATAAAAGTTATATGTTATAGACGTTCCTGACTAATTAAATTTCTAATTCCGTTTGTAAGAATCTAAATGCCTCCTCGCTTGTCCTATCTAATTTGAAAAAGCTTTAGTGTGTGATAACATCACATAGTTGATTGATTTTGGCTTGAATAAGAAACAATTTTTATGTTATTACAATTATTACAATTATGCTGCTTTTTCAATTAATTTAAAACTCTCTTCTTTCCTGTACATATATGTATATAATTAAATCTGATAACATTTTCCAGAGGGGATCCGACTTTAATAAAATGTGTTAACAGGGATGGATCTTAACAGTCAACCGAAGTTGCGAGATGGGTTCACGTGAATTTGCGTTTATTAGACACCGAAGCAAAAGAAAAAAGAAAATACAAATTTTGTTAGCCAGCTAGCTTACTGTAATTTCTGGTAGCCCAAGCTACGGATTCAGTAATTGAAAATTTCTAGTAGTCCCCTACTTGTGTGTCATCTGATCTTCTAATATTTCATCTCTGTTATCTTGCAAAGCAGGAATGGGTTTACTCGCGACCAAAACGAAAAGTCACGAAATTACAAACAATAAAAAGCATTGCCTATAGTTATGACAAATAAACAAGGGTGTAATTTATTTTTTTCTCTTCCAGATTTGAATGAAAACAGAAAAATGACAACAAATTCCTAACAAATCATAATACAAGGAATTAAATGCATATTTTTCAAACACCAAAAATGCATGACAATGAACCAATGGCCGCCATCCATGGTACACGAATGTCACCTCACCAACAGAATGATGTCAGGAGCTCAATTATTAAGCGGCCTTTTGAACCATTGGCGAAACCAACAGTAGATACTCTACCTGAAAATTATAAGTGTCCGAGATATGACGATAAAATGGAAGATGACGATTTCAGTGACCATGATTCACATTATTCCGAAGACTTTGAGGATTGTGATTTTAATCTTGAGAAGGAACAAGAAAAAACTCCTGATATTACTCAACGTCTGTTGAATTTTGCAGATATGGTTAATCAAGATATTAAAAAATTCTTTGGGAGGAAAAAGGATGACGAATCATGTGACATTTACGAAGATAAATGGGTCGCTACGAAGTCTGGCAGGGAACTCTACTATGCAGATCTGTTAAGGATAGCACATGGTGAATCTGTTGAATTGAACAAAACAATAAAAAACATGTCTTTACCAAATTCGCCAAATAATAATAATGACTCAAAATATCGGTATACAGGGAAAATGGACACGAAAGCCGGTCTCGGTCCATTAAATGAACTGTTTGATTTTGGACTAAAAAAAAATAATACAAAGAAAATCAAACGCCCAAAAGTTGAGAAAAAAATTGACGAAATAATTCCTATGCAACACAGAAAACTGCCAGACTCTTTTTGGAAAGAGCCAGGAACAAATAGTGACTCAAGATTAAATGGAACAAATGCTCTTCAATCGTCGCGCGCACCAGACTTTAGTGATCTTCTGCAATCATGGGCACGTGGCGAAGAAGAAGAATTCAGTTCAAGTGAAATGAGTATTGGATCGGCAGAGTCTGTCATGGAACAATTGTGATTATGAAAAAATATATTGTCAGAAAGTGAAAACAAGCAAATGAAATATTTAACAGGGTACAAATATTACCAGTGCAATTTTAGTGAATCCATTTACATCTCAAATCAAATTAGAAGTTTTAATTAGGGACATCTCATACTAGTATTCATTTCCATGACAAACTTTACAGAATTGTCTAATGCATATATTATATTAAAAAGTAAAATGTTCACAAATATTTAAGCCTTGCATATTACATTATAAAATCAAACTATTCAGTATAGAACCTATATCTTATAGATAAATATTTTACACTTTGAAGAGCAAGAACTATGCAGTGTTACAATACAAGGACCCTAAACTAAATGAACTTTTCAACAAATATCACATATAGAATTCACCAAAGAAAAAGGTGAATGAACAAAAATGGGTGCATTTTTAAAAAAATAATTGCAATTTACTAGCATATTCCCTTGAAAATAAAACGTGTACATAAAATACAAAAAAACGATGAAAATGTTTAATGATTTAAAGCGATAGAATCCCAGCGAAAACGTATTCTTAAAAACACAGAACAAAAAAATGTAAACAAGCCGAATGTTTGCAGCTATCGGGAGACACAATTATGTATTTTCCAAATCCAAAATTCAAGAATTTTTATTCCATCCACAACGATCTCATACTATACATTGCTCAATCTCGTATGCGTTTTGACATATTTCACAGTTTAAAAAAAAACTTGTTTTTATTATTATTTCATTTGTATTACTTTATTATCATCAGTATTACAGTTTATGGTTTTAATGTTGACGGAACATTTTGACGATGTAAAATAATTCAGAGCAGAATTTCGAAGCTTTTTTCCATGAAAAAACCGACGATATCTTCGATGAAAATGTACTCTATATGAAGGCTGCCTTTCCGTTTTGACAGTCATCCATTTCAAATTTGTGAATTTATTGGATCTTATTGTGTTCTTTTTGATTTTGTCTAAGGCAAAATTGAATCTGATAAAACGTATGATATAATCTGCGTAAACTCTTTTTCTGTTTTGAGCACTTTTCCTTGTGTTTTCCACGTTTTGTCTGTTTCGAGCACTTTTCCTTGTGTTTCCACGTTTTGTCTGTTTTGAGCACTTTTCCTTGTGTTTTCCACGTTTTGTCTGTTTTGAGCACTTTTCCTTGTGTTTTCCACGTTTTGTCTGTTATGCATTCATGTTATATATTAACATATAGTCAATATTCAATCGGTTCCCATTTAGACATTTTGTTCATCTTAAATTCTATATATAACTGACTTTTTTACTCATCAAAAAGGTCAGGATGTTCGAAAATGTTTTAATGGTGCTGAAAATTTTATGACAATTTTGACATTGTTCATTTATGAGGAGCTATAAGTAATATTGAAGTAACAGTAATAAAGTCACTATTGTGTGGATATGGGTTCAATTTTAAGCCTCCCTTTGGACACCCTTACTGAAAAAAAATAACAGTAGTTCTCAAACTTCATTACATTGCTTTTAAGTCTGTGATTTACACTTTATTCTCCATAATGATTTATTTACGCGAGGTGCAATATTTCTACGATTTCAGAGATCTCTCTTCACATAAAATGGTTTAAATTGATATTAAATGACTTTTCAATGAGACATTAAAGCTCGTCATAAATAACCATTATCTTTAAGTATATGTCCATATATTATCACAGAGCATTACAATAACTTGACGTATATACCTGGATTTGTTTGGGCTGTATTTGATGTCTGCATGGACCTTAGTTATTTTATCAGGATTATTTTTTTTCTGTTTTTTTTTTTTTTTTTACAAATTCATGATATGGCGGATTTGAAATGCACGAACAAAACCAAATCCATTTCGGTTTACATATTCTACTTTTTACATGCACGCAATAATTCTAATTTGAATAACTACTACTTTAACTTTCTTTGAGAAGTTAAAACTTTAAACTTGGAGCTAATAGAACGAGGCCTAAATACGTCAGGCACTATCCATATGCATGCATCTTTTTGAAATATCTTGGGAGCAAAAATTCATTTGTAGGTGAATACAAAATCTTCTTCGACCACCTTGAAATATGTATCCAGAGACGCATATTTTAATAACTTCACAAATTACGAGGAAACTCGCAAAACACAAAATATATTCAATTAATAACTTAAAATTTTAATTATGTATATATATATTGGTCTGATTTGGTGCTGTTGTGATTACTAAATATTGCTAAATATTAATACAGTCGATGACGACTGCCGATGTTACAAGGCAATTGGATGCCGCGTTGTTGCATTTGGTTCTGATATCATTTGCTGTTAAGTAAAGTACAATATCGACTTTGCCAATACCATGGAAACGAAATAAAGGGTAAACAATCCTCATCAATTCATCATTACATAATATGGATATAAACTCACCATAGATGCCAGGATTAAAATGTTCTAAGCCAGACGCGCGTTTCGTCTACAAAAGACTCATCAGTGACGCTCGAATCAAAAAAGTCAAAAAGGCCAAATAAAGTACGAAGTTGAAGAGTCACTCATAAAACTGAACGTAATTGTTCTTTATACACTTTTTTTCGGAGATAATTTTCCCCAGGCTATGAAATCAATGTTACGATATTTAGATATGACAATATTGAACATATGCATGATGAACTCATTAAATTATTAACCATGTCATATTTACATGATAGTGTCCTCTCTAAAAATTTGTTTGAAAATCTGTTCAATGTAGGATCAACGAAACACAATGAGAACGAAGAAGAAAGCTTATGCATACGTATCTTTTATAAAAGAAGGAAAACATTGGATTTAAAGAATTCCAGCTTCCCTTTTATAAACAGTTTATGTCACGATAAATAAGGAGGTGAAATTATGACACTAAAATTAGAGAAATGTTTGTTTACAAACAATAATGATCTATCATACAAGTATATATGATTAATTGATTGCTGGTTGCTTAAAGTCCAGTGATAAGTTATAATATGTCATTACTTCTTAATTAAATTAAAAAAAAAACTGCTGCGCAACTGTAGTTATGCTATTTGTTTGTTACAATATGTACTTCCACCTAAATAGTAAAGATATGACGAAAAACCAGAAACATATGCAAAGAACAACGTATTTAAATGAACCAAGATTGGACCTTAAAATAACCAAACATGTCAATCATAACGTACCTCAACGTTCTTTTAAACTAGAAATACAATTGGTCTACCGTTTCAGTAATTAAGTCCATGACAACTGGAATAAAGCAAATGACCTTGACAAAAACAGTAAACTTACTTCTTTCGATATTTGCAATTATTTCATGTACTGCATCATCTGACTATACTCATTTTGAAAACATAACACAAGAAATACAATTAGCATGCCAACGATTTCGAATTAAATGAGATATGCATTTTCCAATGAAACAGTAACAACACAAATTATCAAAAAAAATCTTGTACTCAACAATCGACCATTGCCTGTAAAGTAGGTCAAGCTCTAAATCACTTCCAGTCTAGAATAGTTATAATTATAAAACAAAACAAAAAATGAAAACAAAAACCGGTATCAACATCAAGTTCTCAAAAGGACGAAGATTACAAGATATATCTAAAGATAACCTTTTAACCCTTTTAACGAGGATCCTTACTAACGCATACAATAATGTAATATGTGATATTATGTAGTCCTACATTCTGATATCGGCGGCTGTGCTTCAAAAAATATCGTAGAAGATATCGTCATTTACAGTACAAATAGACATGATCTTTTGCAATATTCTTAAGAAGTTTTATATATTATCTCTAAATATGAAAAATAATGTATATTCAATTGTTCGGGGAAAAGAATAATTAATATTTTGTTTTCCAAACGGAAAATTGTGTCCTCTTTGAAAAACAATAGAAAAACTCGATTATAACATAAATCAGTAAACTCAATAAGTTTTGTACTGGTTATAAATTAAAATTGGTAGTGAGCAGACTTCTCAAAATTTTCACCAGGCACCGCGGAAAAGAAATCCATGCATATACCAGTTTTGAAATTAATTGATAACAGAATCTGTAATAAAAATCGGGTAAAGCAAGTACCTGGCATAGATTTAAAATAATCCTGAAGCAGGAAGTCCCCTCCCCCCCCCCCCCCCCCCAAAAAAAAAACCGACTGTTAAAACTTGTATTATTTAAAAGTTATCTCATATAGGCAATATATATTCAAGCACGATTTGGCGGTCACATAAATGCTTTTTGGTTTTTTAATGTTTCTTTTCAGCTTCGTTGACTTTTGAGTAAAGTAATATTCCAAGACGGTTCCCATCTTGTAGATCAGAAGAAAATGTTTACGAAAATAACTTAATTTTGATTCTTTGAACGAAAACAAGAATGTTTTTACAGGCATTCAAATAGCGAAATATGTTGCAGAGTTGTATTTTTGAAAGACAATATTTTTTTTTCAATCATCTAAAGAATATTGAAATACAGGATACGTATTTTTTTTTTTTTATTATTTCTTTAATTATAAGTTCAAAAAATTGTAAATTTTACGCATTTTGACAGCGGGAAGCGGGGAAATAATAATTATTTTTATATAAATAATGTCGGCTTTCAAATTATTGAATTCCAGATGAAGGAAACGGTTGAAAGAATAGGGCATTACAATTCACTCAATTTCAAGATATATTTTTAAAAATAGTTTTAAATATTGGTGTTCTAGACAAAGAATATAAAGTAGGGGCAAATAATATTTAATCATCTAGTCAATACTTCCGCCAATCTTAGGCCGGAAAATTCAATTAATAATCATTTTCCCCCACTTTGGATTACATAAACCAAAAACTGACCGCATATTAAAAAAATCTTTTTGACATACTTTACAAGTTCTTTGGAGAACTTGCTTTAATCTATACTTCTCTATATGTTTTGCATATAAATGCAGTCTGTTTAATGGAATTTTATGCGACTGTCATACAAGTGAGAGGTTTTTCTAGCTATAAATAAACTCATCATAGATACCAGGATTGAAATTTTGTATAAGACCAGGTCTTATCCACCATTTTCTACATAAGGAAATGCCTGTACCAAGCCAGGAATATGACAGTTGTTTTCCATTCGTTTGATGTGTTACAGCTTTTGATTTTGCCATTTGATAAGGCACTTTTCGTGTTGAATTTTCCTTGGAGTTCGGTATTTTTGTTATTTTACTTTTTATCGTTTATCATTTCAACATAATTAACT